GTGTAGACTTTATTTTACTCTGATTCGAAGAAGTTTTGTGAGTTGATTCGACCGCATCGTGGGTTGAGACTAATCAAGACATTCGCACAGGGACACAACTCGGCAAGGACGTTTCCATTGAAATGGATACCGTGATTCAGAGCTGTTGCATGTAACAATTTGAGTGGCTTGCTGTACCGTGACTATTCACCATATGGGTAAGCGGAGAGCTTAGACTTCCTCTGAATTCTCTGATACTCAACGACTCGTATACTAGAGATTCTCGCCTTCAATGACATGAAGTATGCAGCTAATTCTAGAATTGAACACCTCCAAGCGTTGTCTCCCAGGTACTCGGGAAGCCATGCTGTCCGACATCAAGTCCTGGCTCGAAAGTGTTGGGAAAGATGTTCCCCGCGTCCTATGGTTGCTCGGAACAGCATGAAAAGGCAAGTTGGTCATTACCCATGCAACAGCCGAATGATTTACTGAGATTGGGGCTCTAGAATCTTCTGCTTCGAATGCACGCAGGAGGGGCTTGTTGCACCTAGTCACGCAAATCCCCGACAGCTGATTCTTCATCTGCTTTCCGGCAAGCTGTCCTTGTGGGTAATCAGATTACTGGAAAACCTCTGTATTCTCGTCACTTCTCGACCACTGGAAGACATCTGCGATGCACTGCACACCGCGCCACATGTTCGTCGTGTATCCACAAAACAAGGCATCCAGCTTAACATTTCCACTAGTTTGTCAGGCCTGTGCAATAATACATGTCCACGCCCTTGCTCGCAAATCCGACGGCCTGTTTGAATGTATACCACTCCGATGCCTTTTGATGCCGTGGTTGCTAGAGATCTGCATAAGGAACACGTCTGTTGGACGATATGTACAGACGCATCATGGCAGAAATCATGACAAATCATGATAACGAGGAATTGATCACTATGTTTTTCTTTCTGTGATGGGACAGATTCCTACATCACTGGAACCGCTCTGCATTGACCACCATGCGAATGCATCTTCCACGTGAGGATGACTGCTACTACGTAAGCTCAGTCATCGGACATCTGGTTTGTCACCGGCGTTGATACCTTTCTCACAAAGAAATCGCGGACATCTGCAAACTAGAAATTTCTTCACAGATATGGTAATTTTCGACAGTTTCCCACAGCCACCCAAAGTGGCGACAGAGCTCACAGAACGTACAGCCCCAGACGCCAAAGTGGTCACAGAGCTCACAACCGGGTCAGACTGTTCAAAATAAATTCAATGGTTTCCAGCTCAACGGCCTCAATCTTTTTAAAGTGTTGAAGTCTACTAGTAGTACTAGTACTTAGTACTTAGTACTTAGTAGTAGCAGGCTCGGAACTTCCTTTTAATTGCTAGCTTGAATTTGCACATTGTCCCCAATTACGATACAAACATTATATTCAACGAAATACCAATATATAGTAGTAGTACTGTACATACTAGTACTACTAATGCGCGCGCCGAACTTGAACACAAAAGAATAAGAATAGCTCGAGTCATCAGTCTAAAATTACTGATACACGACGGTTGGATTGTTCTGTGATAAGACATGAAGTTTGCAGTGGCGAATGTGAACAGATATGACTTACCTTGCAAACTGCATGGCGCAAGTGAACGGTGAGAAAGACCGTATTTTTGAAAAGTAATTCGCATATACCCTAATCCTATATCTGCTTTGTCGAGCTTTTTCTTCGAAACGTCGGACTGGTGCTTAGAAAGATTCGCCATGATTTCGCGTTCTCGCACTACACAATCCGCTAGCACCTTCTCCGCCCTAAATACATCCCGCCTCGCCCTCGCTAGGTCCATGACGAGGTTGGCTTCAAGTTCATCGGTGTCGTTGATTGACTGTAAGTACCATGTTACTTAGAGCGAATGCGATACAATATGATTGACTTACCATTGACCTGATACCATCGGCTATATCGTACAGGTCAGAAATACCGCTGGAATCGTGACGACACGAGTGACAACTTGGACATTGCTGAACAGAGTGTGTGCGCGTACAAGGCATCAGGCGCGAAGATGATGATGGGATATCATTGCTGAGATTAAGACTGATTGGTGGGGCTGACATTTCAGAGAAACAAAGAGTAAGTTGTTGATTATGAATTGGGCTTCTCACGACTCACGAGTGTCGGACTTTGCGAGGACCATCATGTCCAATTTCCAGTGTCCTTCATGCGGTAAAGCCAGTTTCAGAGATCAGGTTGCTGTTGCTCGTCACATGAGCCAGCCTCGCTCAGGATGTAGCACCTGGCTACAGGATTTAATACGTCTGCGGGACCTATCTGACGATTCTATGAATACAGATGACTTGGACGGACCGAATATTCCCGGTGGTGGGCCTCAGGCTGAGGTTGAGTTCACATTCGGAGATAGAGACGAGTCATTTGAAGGTAGCGGTGAGAGTGGTGGCCAGGCCTCTGAGGAGGGATTACTTCCGAATGGTGCCTCAGATTTCGTCGACCAATATCCCAAATCTTCTCGGACGTATGGCATGGGGTACACCTTCCTCGACTTATTCAATTCTGATGAGAATAGTGTGTACCGTGCCAAGAATCCCTATTACCCATTCAGTGGCCGGAAGGATTGGGAGATTGCATCGTGGTTACTGCGCTCAGGATTGAGCATGGGGAAGATAGACAGTTTTTTATCACTCGACATAGTAAGCAAATTGTTTCATTTTCATTACAATTCCGATGATAAGTCTTTTGTCAAGATTAAGGGTCTTCCAATATCTTTTTCCTCGGCCAAGGAACTGCGAGGCAGAGCAGAAATGTTGCCCAGTGGTCCACGCTGGATGTCCCAAGTGCTCTCTACGAGTCATCCCACCAAATCACCCGTCGTTTTGTACTGGCGTGATCCCTTGGACTGTATTTCAGCCATTCTGAATCATCCCTTTTTTCACGATCGGTTAGACTTCACGCCTCGCAGGGTCTATACTACTGCACAACGCTTGTGTCGTGTATATTCAGAATGGATGACAGGCGATGATGCATGGAATATGCAGGTATATATTCATGTTTTGCACCAGTCGCTGAACTTAATGGTTTCTCAACAGTCTGCCCTACCCAAAGGCGCAACACTCCTTGGAACCATTCTATCATCCGACAAAACAAATATATCCACGATGACGGGTGACAGAGTTGCACACCTGCTTCTCGTCAGCCTTGCGAATATCAACATGTCCACACGACTCAAGACATCGTCCAACTCCTTTGTACTCACCGCCTTGCTCCCCGTACCTAAATTTATACATAAGAATAAACGCATGCGAGGTGTACTCGAGGATCGCTTAATTCATGAATGTTTAGATATCGTCCTGCGTCCACTCAAGCAGGCTGCACGTGAAGGAGTCATGTTATCAGACCCTGTTGGACATAGCCGCTATTGTTTTACCCCCCTGGCAAGCTATATTGTCGACACTCCAGAGGCTATGATGCTAGCTACTGTCGGTGGGAAAACATCTCCGGTCACCATGGCCATGTTCAAGCAGTTCGGAGACCCTTTCCGTCACGAACCTCGCACGAAATCAACCACACTTGCACAGCTGGCTGTCGTTCAAACAAGGGCAGATCCCAACGATATTGAAGCCTTCTTTCGCGAAGCGCAGAAATTTCGCCTGAACGGTGTCTCTAAACCTTTCTGGCAGGACTGGACCCTTGGTGAACCGTCTCATTTCCTCACTCCAGAATTTCTGCATCTCATTCACCGAGAATTCTACGATCACGACGTCAAGTGGATGATTTGTGCGGTCGGGGATATGGAAATTGATTTCCGGTTTTCTGTGTTGCAGCCCGTCACTGGCTTTCGTCATTTTTACGGTGGTATCTCCAAGCTAAAACAGGTTACAGGTCGAACTCAACGTGACATTCAGCGTTCGATCGTTGCAGTCAGTGCGGACGCAGCACCTAGTGCTGTGATCACTGCTGTCTGAGCATTGATGGAATTTCGGTATCTCATCCAGTCACCACGTATTGATGAAGACGACATCAAGCGCATTTCTGGAGCCCTCGATGAATTTCACGCCAATAAACACGCTATCACAGCTGGAGGATTTCGTCGAGGCAACAAGAACAAAGTTATCGATAACTGGTACATTCCAAAATTGGAGCTCATGCAGAGTATAGTTCCCAGCATCCGCAACACTGGTGTCGCCATGCAATGGACTGCAGACACAACAGAGCATGCACACATTACAGAGATTAAAGACCCCGCGCGATCAAGCAACAACAACAACTATGATCCTCAAATTTGTCGACATCTCGACCGGGTTGATAAGTGCCGTCGCTTTGACCTTGCAATGAGTCTCGTGGATGGTATGGCAAGCTCGAGGCTACAGGATGACAATATTGGTGATGATGTTGACTTTGATGCGGATGATGATGATGACCTCCCCACGGAATTTACGGCCACTATAAAATGTCCTGGACATTCGCGCCCAATCACCAATTACTTTGTGATTGTGAAGATCCTCCAGCATAAGGAGGTTGGGACTGTCCCTCTGCCATTGCGCACATTCGTCATCGGACGCACGGCCTATCATCTCACATATTCCCCATCCATCAGATCCATCTCCATCAACGATGCTGCTATCAAATTCGGCCTTCCTGACTTACGGCTGGCCATTGCTGATTTTCTTCGTCGCGAAGCTACCCACGGACAGAATTATGTCCACACAATTGGGGGAGCCAGGAGGGCTGGACCTACTGCTTCCCTGCCATTTGATAAAATTCAAATCTGGTTCAAACTTCGCCTACAGGACACAGAGTTTCACGACAGTAGCATCATACGGCCCGCGCAGACCCTGAATTGTGTGCCGCCTTCTGATGTCTGGAACTCTGGTAGGTACGACTCAGCTATTGTGAACAACGAGTCAGGGTGCCTTTGGCCTGCTCATGGTCTTCGTGGTATGTTACAACCTTCTATCATGCTGAATACATTCTCACTGTTATCTTTCAGGTCACACAATTGGTCAAATTAGACTTATCATGCGTCCAGTTGGAAGAATCAACACGGATTGGTCATGGGAGGACCGTTTCCTTGTCTATATGTACCGGTTTGATGGTACAACAAGCGCTCGTGATCCTGCCACACAGTTGCACTCGATCAGAAGGGCGAAATGTTCCAACGGTACATTAGTGGGCGATATTATACCACTGACGCAGATCAAGGCTCCTGTTAATCTCATTCCTCGCTTTGGAGCCAGTGCAGACAGCCGTTTTACCTCACAGAACAGCATGGAGCACGCGTCAGAGTTTTGGGTAAATAAATTTTGGGACAAGAACACATTCTTTCCGCTCTCTATGTAGCTTCCTGCCTGTATTTTTAACTTTTGTGCTATTGGTTGTCAACGAGCTTCTTTCTGATATATTCTTAGTTCAACGAGCATTGATGGATGTAGTGATGCCGTGCGATAAGGGCATCTTGTTGCTCCCACCGTTGTCATATTATAGCTTAGAGTATACCGAACAAATGCCACCTCAGTTCTTTTTCAGGACGGGCGGCTACGGAATAAAGTTGTCGTCATTGGTCTCGCTCCCTGCCGCTGTTTCAGGCGATGCCCTTACAATGAACAAGTACACGGCCGAGGAACTAAATCGTCTAGTTACGCAGGAAGATGAACCCTCTAATTCGCAATCGCTAGGACACATGCTCTCTCATATCTTTCAGCCTTTCAGCATACCTCTACCGGATCTATCTACGCTCCAGATCCCACTCAAAAACATCCTTTATCACAACGAACGTACCAAAGCAAAATTCAGCAAAAATTCACCAGATGACCTGGTGCCATTGTACGATACTGATGCGCAGCTATGGAACTGGGACCTTCCAACTCTTGCTCCCACAAACGAATCTGAATCAACAACTCACTCTCAACCACCTGAAAGCTTAGATTCGGAGGGCAATGCAGGGACCGGTGAAACCGCAAAAGCAACTCACGAAGAAATTTTCTCATCATTCTTCAACGCTTTGGCTATCTGCTTAGCGAAGGCAGAGCCCAAACTACTAGCCAACCCCACTGCGACGCGCACGTGGACTGCGGCCCACGCACATAAAGCATTACCTGGTAGTGAGGTGAAGCGGAAACCCGATCTCCTCTTGTCAGACGAGATCACAGCAAATTGGGGGAATATCAGGGTATCGGCTGAGCTGACGCACAGTTCATATCAACCTGCGTTGCGACTCGTGAAAGCTGCTGATAGTCATGCATATCTCATGCTGAGCGAGCAGCCTTGGAGGCGCTTTGCGCTTGTACTATCACTCACCAACGAGTACCGGGAGCTCAGAGTCCTTTTCTACGATCATGCCGGTGGTGTCGTGTCCCCTGCCTTCAATATCTACCGAAAACCAAGCATTGTTGCTCACATTATTGCTGCCCTTCGTTTCGGCAGCCTCGAGTGCATAGGCTATGACTTGACAGTCTCCTTCACAAGACACATTTCTCCTCCCCAACGCCATGCCAATAACTATCGTCCGATCAAGAACCTCCCTGCCAAACGGCAACCTGCAGATCACGTCATGGCTGCAGCCACGTCTGAGCTCCCTTATCCACCACCCGGTGATGTTGAGGGTGCACCAAGCGCTGTCATCGAGACGATATATCCCGACTCAGAGCCCGAGTCCGAGCCAGAGCCAGAGCCAGAGCTAGAGCCAGAGCCAGAGCCAGAGTCCGAGTCCGAGTCCGAGTCAGAGCCGCATGCTGACGATGGTATGCACGTTTCTATGAAGAATCTGGAGGATCCCCACCTGGTACAAGCCACTGCCATCTCCAGCGCCCCCCTTCTCAACCTCGCATCCCAAGCGCCTGAGGAGCCTGACAGTATCTATTCTGCTACACCCCATCCTTCACAATTCCCGTATTCAGCTCAGTCACCTGAACCGTGTGGCAAAATTCGTGTCAGGGACACGATCTACACAATCACAAGGATCCTGTTTGCGAGTCGCGGCCTTGTTAGTCGCGGAACTGTCTGCTACTTGGTCTCTTTGGATGATAAGGAATTCATCATCAAAGACCATTGGGTTCAGGGTAAGGAGGATCAGGTGATCTTGAATGAGATCGAAATGTTGAAGCGCATGTCTGGCGTCCCTGGCGTTCCCGAGTTGGTGGATTGGTGGGTGGTTGAAAGGTCGAATGGAGAACCCGATGTGACCAGCAAATATCGAAAACAACCGCAGCGCCTAAGTATTGCAGGGACCAGTCGCTCACACGTTCGACTTGTCTTGACGCCCTGCGCTCGCCCCCTGCATATGTTCCGAACTCTTAAAGAGTTTGTGAAAGCGCTGAGGGACATTGTCATCAGTAAAGTGTTTTTTTTGATTGGCAATCTTTGAACTGACATATCTAATTTCAGTTCAACGCACGGCGGTGGAGGAACGCAAGGTTCTACACCGCGACTGCAGCTTAAATAACGCAATGATTGTAGATCTGTTAGGAGGTGGTAGTAAAGGGTTTCTAATCGACTGGGAGTTCGCAGTGCGCATCAACCCAGATCTGAAGTATGCCATCGGTGGTACGGTAAGTGCGTTCAGTTAATTACAGTACGTCTAGTACTGATCTGTTCGTCCAATCTACAGGGAACAATCCCGTTCATGTCTCGCGGGCTTCTTGCCCAACTCTCAGATGCACAACAGGCAGCGCTGGGCGGAAAGAAACCGAAATATATCCCGAAAACGTCTTCAAACGCTTTGGCGTTGCCTGTATCGCATGTCATTCAATGCTTTTCAGACGACCTCGAATCACTTTTCTTCGTCTTCATCTGGATTTGCATCAAATTCTGTGGCCCCCATGGCCAGGTACGCCAGGATATGATAGGAAACTCAATACCTGATCGCTGGAACAACATGGACCTCGAATCCTGCGCAGCCTTCAAGGGCAATTTTTTCGCAACTAAGAAGGAGGAACGCTGTCTTGTAGACGAGATCCATCCTTACTTCAAAGACTTAATCCCTCTCGCCAAGGAGTGGCGTACGGCTTTGAAGGACAACATGGAGAACCCTGTTTCCTTCAACACCATCCTTACATTATTGAACACTCATCTTGACCGCCTTCCGGATGACGAGGAGCTCATTTCCACTGTCGAGACGCTCAGAAAATCTGCTGCTATTCTCGCAGACCGTGTCGAGAAGCGTGCCGCTTCGCAATCGTTCCCCATGGAATTACCCAAGCGTCGGAAGGCTGATGGTATTTCGGAGACTGACAACGAGTCAGACGGTTAGCATACATACAGGCTGATTATTCAACGTAAACATCGTTTTTCATTACTACTTTGTTGTACTCTCATTCTCACGTTGACCCGATGTACTGCGTTTTTGGTTGTTGTGACTTGTATGACTTATAAATTATGTTTCTTGGCAACTTGACTTCACACATTTATTCTCATCAAGATGAGTCACTCAAAACATGCAGCATTGATTATTACATGGTACGCGCTTCAGTGTGATGTTGCACGCATTTTTGAAATGTAATACTGTCCATTACTCGCATCAAGGCCGTTCTGTTGGTCCACCCGGCGCCGAGACATGATATTATTATATAAAAGACTGGTGAGTTTGCGACTTGATGAATCGCTAGACTCAGGCTTCACCTCTTTCTCTATCCTCTGTGTAGTTGCAATCATGCCTCCTCGTGCTATTAACAGCCCCAAGAAGAAGAGGTCGAAGCGCAAAGGCTCAGATGCTTCAACTGGCAGGGCAGGTGTACCCAAAAAATCTCGTCAGGCTACGGACCTCACCGAAACACTCAGCGTACCACTTGTTTCCCTTGGCCTTGCTGAAGTTGAAGATGGTGCTCCACGACGTTCTGGCCGCCCCAATGCAGGGACCGGAGGTAGGAACAGCCAGCTAGAAAAGATTGGTGCAGTCCTTGAGTCTCAGTCTCGAAGTCGTCCTCCCAAGGGCTCCACGTCCCTCAGTCCTAATATCCCAGTGAACCCTCAGGCTCCGGAACCAGCTCGTAAAGGACGGAAGGGTCGTTCAAAGGTCAGGCATGTAAGTATTCATTTTTACTAATGCTGATGTTTGCATTCAGGCGGTTCCTCCGCCTTATAGTTCACTCACGGTTACCAATGGTCCTGCGAGCATTGATAACACAGGTCCTGGTCTTTCAATGCACCAACCTGGCGGAAGGTTTGGTTTCGTTGCTCCTCCTAGTGCTGGCCGTAGTCTTCACGAGGCTAACAATCCACATGTCACTGTTGGCTCGAAGGCTGTCAAGAAGCGTGCTACGAAAGTAGCTCGTGATCCAAACCCACGCAATATCATACCGCCACTCACCACCTTCGTGGAACAAAACTTGGATCCGGCCCTTTTCGAGGAGGACAACAATGTCAGGCGTCAACCTATACTGCGAGAATCCCAGCTATTGAACAGTGGACCCAAAGTCAGCAGCACCAACGACAGCGATGACGAAGACGAGGACGAGGACGAGGATGGAGACGAGGATGAGGACGAGGATGGGGATGAGGACAAGGATGGGGAGAGGGAAGAGGACGAGGATGAGTCAGACGAGGATGAGCACACCAATGAGAATGGGTACCAACGTCACAATGGCCATCCAGGTAATTTCCTTTATCGTACTGAGATCCACCTGATGTTGTTCCCTCTTTCAATCTTACAGGCTTCTCAAACGAATCGCTACTTTCGCAGCCTCGAGTCATTCGTCATCTCTCACCTGAATTCGATTTTCAGTACTCCCGCGATGAGGATGATGCGGCTGCTCAGACGAGCCTCAATAAAAACACTGTAGCAAACTCTCAATCCTCGACCGTCCACCAGAACAGTGACTCCCAGGTATGCTGACATGGATTTACTGGCATTGCACTTATTCTTTTTGCTCTTAAGGGCTCTCTGGATCCTTTGGTAGGAGTGCAACGGCAACAACAGACACAATGTTCTGAGGTGAGCAAATGGTTTTTATTCTGAACGAGGCTCACAGTGATCGTTTGCATACCTCGAAGCCTAGCGACGTATTGGAGTCCCACCACAAGAAAAATGGCCAGCCCCGCCTTCCCGACCCTGAAACTCTTGAGCTGCTTCATCAAGTAGCCGAGCACGCTGATGACCAACAGGCTCCCCGGAGAAACAGAAAGATGAAACGGTCAGAAGACGGGCCCAAACCTACTCTATTAGCTTGGTACGGGCCGCGCTGGAAAAGCTTCCTTGAGCACACCAAGGGAGAATGTCGTGTGGAACACGCACTTGACGATCCGTTCCCGAGTTTTGTTGGTGATCTTCCAGGGTCAGTAACTGAAGTTCTCATCGCAACTTTAGTCATTTGGGACAAGGAAGGAAAACAATTCGAAGCTGGTGC